TGCTCCAACTTCTTTAACCCGTCTGAAAAATTTTTCTCGTTTTCTCGAGGTCTGCAAAGTAGGCCTCCGTGGCGGCGATGACCTCCTCATTCGACTCAAATTTCTGCCCGGCGAGTGACTTTTTCAAGTTTGGAAACAAAAAGAAGTCGCACGGGGCCAAATCTGGAGAATACGGTGGATGGGGCAGCAGTTCGTAGCCCAATTCGACCAATTTGACCGATTTGGCGAGGGCGGAGGTGTGAGCCAGTGCGTTGTCATGGTGGAAAAGCACTTTTTTCTTCGCCAAATGGGGCCGTTTTTTCTGCAATTCGGCGTCGAATCGGTCCAATAATTCGACATAGTACAGCCCTGTGACCGTTTTGCCCTTCTCCAGGTAATCGATGTAGATCACACCTTGTGAATCCCAGAAAACGGTGGCCATCACCTTTCCGGCCGATAGGACAGTCTTCGCCTTCTTCGGAGCACGTTCGCCGGGTGAAGTCCACTGTTTCGACTGTTCCTTGGTCTCTGGTGTGTACCAGTGGATCCATGTTTCGTCGACGGTCACGAAACGACGCAGAAACTCCTTCGGATTGCGCTTAAACAGCGTCAAACACTGCTCTGAAGTTGCTCTGAAGTCTCACGGTTGCACTTGTCCGGAGTGAGCAAACGCGGCACCCATCGCGCCGACAGCTTTCTCATGCCCAAAATTTCATGCAGGATATAACCCACGCGGTCTTTTGAGATGCCCACTGTCTCAGCTATCTCGCGCACCTTCAATCGGCGGTCTGCCAATACGAGATCGTGGATTTTTGTCATGTTATCCTCCGTGGTAGCATGGTGGTTTTCGGGGCACCTGGGCGTGGCTCATCAAAAACCGACGTGCGACCACGTTGAAACTCGTTAAACCAATTTTTGACGGTCGCCATCGGAGGAGAAGAGTCACCGTACACAGCATCCAAGCGCTCTTTGATTTCGCTGCGCGATTTCCCTTCCAAAAACAAGAATCGAATCACCGACCGATATTGCTCTTTTTCCATTTTTCTAAAATCCGCGGACACGCCCGCTTCCACACGCGGTCAAAACAAAACTACGAGTCCGATTCGGCTGAAATTTCGACAGTAGCCGTCTACGAGAATGTACTACACGATAGTAAATTTCTCTTGCGATAGTGGCGCCATCGGGCGGTGAGGCTAAGTACTTATCGGACCGCCCTCGTATATTTATTCGCGACGGAGAGTTTTCACGTAACTCGTATTACCTTCGTGCATCGTAAATGGACGATGAGACATCAACTTTCGGCGAAACAAATACATAATTCTCGTTCGCGACGTTTCAATAATTAACGGTTATCATTCACAGTCGCGACACCGTTCTTATTTTCGTCAAATATCTGCCAGCGAAGTCATTGACTTATTTCACTTGCGAGCGTCGTTCCACAGACAATCGTTTAATTCGGGTCGGACTAATTAATGAGAAACGGATATTATTGTCGCGCGCTCGCGGAATTCGGTTACGAGAAATGGATATTGTCACTTAGCGTCGAGGACGACAGCCCGTCGGCGCGTTCTGTTAAACAAATAAAAGCGCCAGTGCGTTATAATTGGCTACATTGCAATTTCGATTGTCGACGAGACGCCGCCCCCATACGCGACCGCATTTACATCGCGCTATCAGGAACTGTTATGCGAATCGTATGAATAATTACAACGACATAATGCAGCGCCGTCGGATGCATAATTAATAAACCACGGTTACAACGTAGATACATTTATTACTGCGGCTTTAAGCGCGATCGTTAATATTACATCTCCTCCCTGTCAATCTTTTGCCGGCAGTTAGATTGCTAGCTATCGATTCGCCGAATCGACGGCCACGAGAATGGGACGAAATGTTGCTGCACGGCACGATGTTTGGTAAACTATTATCGGCGGCGCGCACGGGACCGCCTAATAACCGGAATCGTTACGTTTCCCGTTGTAACGAACTAATTTCGCACAGCGGAGCCAATTACATCGACGGGAGGAGAAGAGAGAAAGAGAGAGAGAGAGAGAGGCAGCGCGTGAACAACTTCTCTGTCGCGTCTGTCGATACCCCTCGCAGCACACGAGAGGCTACGACAACATATCGACAACGGCTGGTTCTCGCCGGCGAACCGATAAGAATTTCACCGTTCCGTTTGTGTTGGTCGCGCGCGATCGATTAATTTGCCCCCGATGACTCTTCCGGCACACCCGGTCGCCACGTCGAAATTTCCGTTACCCCAGAATTTCGGAATTGCGCCGTTGTTACGCAGCAACCGCAACGACGCTACCGACGACGACGTTATCGCGTTGACGTTTTATCGGACAGCGAATTAGCATTTGGCGCGCGAAAAGTCATATTCCCGAAATAACAACCCGCAGACGATCCTCTCGGAAGACGCAAAGTATCCGGAATATCATCATGACGAGACGTCGTTTTGTCGGGATATCCTCCGCGAGAGAACACGCCGGGTGCGATGGAAACGACGAGATCTGTCCTATTAAAGCGCGAGAGTCATAAACGCAACATTAACATTCTTCGCGTTTCGAGCCCCGAAGTGTCGGCACATTTCTCGAAATACGCGTAATATGCGCGCGCACGACGTATCCTCCTCTCGATTATGTACGTATGAATTTAATATCGCAAGGAAATGTGACGAGTCTACCCTTCGCCAGCCCCTCGCAGAATCTCACCGGGAATCGAACAATCGGATGATCGTTGAATCGCCTTTTACGATAAATTTTTGTCGAGGATCGTCGTAAGATACAGATCGAAGGGAACACTCGATGCTAACTGAAGGGCACCCTTTCGTCACGAGATGAAACACTCTCTAGTTCCTATTGTGCTCCGTAGGGAAAATTTCCGAGAGGATGTCCTCTTTGAAGATCCACAGACGGGCAAAGTCTTTAAGAGGAGAGAGGTCATATCGAGCGTGCTTCGCAGCCTGACTAGAGAGAGAAGAAAGGTGGAAATTTTATTACGACAATACGGCGATACTAAATATTTTCAAGAAGTCCCGTTGAGTTGCAACGGGAATGCGCGCGCGACAACGGCGGCGGCAGCGGTGAATTGTCGAGATTCTCCCGGAACGGAATAATTCCGTGATCTAACGATCGTCAACAAGGCTCTCCCGCTTTGCTTTTTGTTCCCGAAAGCGCCCGCGGAAAAAAGAACGAGAGAAATTCGCTTTGTGGTCGCGCGAACGCGAAATTCGCCATGAGTTTTCTCCACGGGTAAAGCGACCCAGTTTTAAATACGCCACGGAAAACGATGACGTGAGGGGGACATGACTAAACGTGAAACTAAATCGATGAAAAATTCGGAAATGGAGATTCTTCTCCGTTCTCTCCGGAGAAAAAGGTAATAGGAGAAAGAAACGCGTCGTTTGCTAATTTTGCCCTTAGAAACTCTCCCTTTTCTTCAATTCTCTACGTACATCTGTATCCAAGTATTATTAAAGTTTCTATTATCAGAAAAACAATAATAACCGATAAGGTATATTTGTTATTTTGTTTGCCGATTAATTTATGCCCCTTATTAACTTATATTTGATATTTAATATTTGCTCATCTCATGATCTACCCACAACTGAGCAAGTTACACAATTAATGCATTGGTGTCTGAGGCTAAAAATAAAAATTTAACGCAGATAGAATATTGAGATAATAAAATGTTAAATAAATGTGAAATAAATCTCTGCTTAAGCTTCAACATGGAGAAAATAGTATTGAGCTACCTTCATGGTATTAAAAAAAGTTAGCCCGTGCGGTGTTATATTTCGCGATTCTCCAAATCGGTTCTCCAAATTTGACGAAATTTATAGGATTAATGTGGAAGCAAAATTTCGACTGGACGTGCATCATTCGCAAATTGATTTTAGCGAGACGAGTCGTTGCACTTTGTCTCTCGTGTAATTTTAAAATCGACTGACCACTGCCACGTATAATTAATACAGAGCTACGATAATTAATATCGATATCGATACAGAATAATTTTTGCGCCGCTCTCGCGGATACGAACGTGAGCCACACAATATAATCTGTCTATATGTGCAAGATGGAGGAACGTGTATACTCTGCATGTAGTTAATCTTTGTGTATACATCATGGGATATTGTGGACGGGTTGTAATTCGGTGCTGACACATTTCTCTACGCACTCTCTCTCTCTCTCTCCCTCTCTCTCTCTCTCTCACACGCATACACGCGATCGTGCGCGCTAGCGCGCATCCACACATTCGTTCGTTTGCCGGGATCTGGGACTGGAATCGTCCTCGTCTGTCTTACCTCGAGTCTTACCTAACTTGTGCTTATGTCTGAAACTGTTGCGAATATGTCATTACTAACCCATTGTCCTACTGTCACACACTAACACAACGCGCGAACAATCGTGATGTAACGGATGCAACGAAGCCCCGCGACCGAGTGCTGCCGAGCTTTTGTCCCCCAAAATTGCAGTGACACTAACAAATCGCTTTTCGTTGATGCGCGCTCGCGAGATTTTCCAGTGACTCATTTAGCGAGTCCGGATTGTCGATTGTTGCGACGAGGATGGGTATCGTGATTTGACGATTCTAACGAGGTCCGGCGAGCGAGTCAAGTTTGTCCCGCTCGAATGCAGCGAGACTGACAAATTTCTAGTCGCGAACTTTGACACTGAAGTAAACGAGAAAAATGTCGAGACAGTTGTTTTTATTCAACTATACGAACGTACTTTGAACTCTCGTACGATACGCGACACAGATGCAGATGATAAAAGTGTGATAAAAAGTGCGAGATGCGCGAATTATGATTTCGAGATATATCCTAAAAAGCACACTGTTGCTGAGGAAAAACCTTCTATTGGAACGAGATTATCTTTCGGGTTGTTTCATCGAGATGCGCGACTGCGTGCTCGTCGTTATTCTCACCTGATTCTCAAGCCGATTCCACGAAGAATTCGGAAATTGCCGCGAGGTCGTTCCGCTGGGTGACGTTTTCGCACACGTGACGATTGCAGGTGCAATCACCGTAAATCCTGCTCGGTGGACGTGCGCAGCGACATTTTCGAGGAGGACCCTTGTCCCGGGACCGGAAAGTACATCGAGGCCCAGTACCACTGCTTAGGTTGGTTCACAATTTTCTATTCGGACGCGTCGTTTCCGCGTTTGCGAGATTACAGCGCGAGAGATCTCGCGAGGGTATTCGCTTCCAACGCGCTCGGGATGCTGCTCGGGATGCTGCGCGGAGGATTTTCATAATGCCGAAATTATCATCCGAGATGCAAAGAGAAATTTTTTCGTCTTTCGAATCGATCGTTGACGTTAGGAGACACTCACACGTGATTTGGAAACTTACACTTTTAGAAATTTATGTTGTTATTATTTCATAATTTAGGTGGAATTCCTTCATGTCTCTTATAGTGATCTTTTACTGATGAAGGGGAACCTCTAACGATTAAATATTGAAAAATTTTTTAATCACCTATTTTCTGGTTGATATAAAATATTTAAAAGTTTATGAAACGAGAGACGGTTAATATTTTATCGGTGAGTCTAATTAGATCTTTATATACCGTTAACTGCGCGATTAAAAATACTCGATAATAAAATCGCTAATCTCAAAGGAGAGAAGCGAGTCGGACGGGACAATTTTCGACGAAAAAGTCTCTCGCCGAAAGCATCATACTCCCTTCTCCCATCCCTTCCGTGAAGATGAAGGAAACAGAGCTGGATCCATGGCGGTACACGTGGTAAGGGTGTACCATGATCATTCTGTTAAACGCGAGTCGAATCCCCGTTCAGGTGCAATGACCAGCAAAACTGCAGCATCGTTGCGTCCACGCTGCAATTCGGCGATCCATGCCCGAACACACACAAATACCTCGAAGCGCATTATCGATGCGTATCCGGTAAGTAAAGCTTTTCCACTGTTTTTACCAATTTTATCTTCCCGATTATTTAAGCTGTTTCGAGATTTCATGGGAAATTCTCAGAGATATTTTCAACTCGAGAAATCCGATAGTCACTCCGCAATCTATCTGACCTTTTCAGAGATCAGTAATTTAACCACTTGCGCTGGAAAGACGTGCCATGCACGTCGTAATGCTTTTGTCACAGAATCGCCAACGACGTGGTATGTACGTCGTCATGCGATTGTCACAGAAACAAAAACGACGTGCGTGGCACGTCGGGTGGGATTGTTTGCCAGAGCACAGATTATCATTGCACTGCATAGCGTACAGTTGTCAATATTTTACCCATATTCTAAAATGGAAAGCAAAAGTTAAGTTAACGATATTATTTCGACAAATAGAAAAAGAAAATACGATAGTGGTGATAGTGATTTTGATGAAATTGTTTTTCCACTTCGAAATCGGCGTATAATTTTATCTGATGACGAGGAAGAATGCATAAATGAAGATTGTGAAATTAATCTTATATCTAATGAATGGATATGGAAAGATACCGAAAATATAACTAAAATCTGGAAATATTCACGAATTTCGAAAATAAATATACTATTTGGGCAAAGTGTAACAGTTTTACAAATGGCAAACGAAATACTGACGGAAGACTTTTGGCAAATTATTGTAACTGAAACGAATCGCTCTAAGGCATCGAACACTGTGTGACGCCTCTCAGCGAGTTACACTGGACCGTTCTGATACACGCGTCAGTGAATTTTTTGCCAGCGCAAGTGGTTAAAGCCACGAAAGATTTCAATTTTAAAGTGACACAGACGTGACACTTCTTAACGGTATAGCGAGATTTCTTTGTTTCCTATTGCGGAATTTGCAGACCATTGTAGACTTTATTCACAATACTGTCCATTATATCCCTATCAATAACATTGATTAAAAACTTTACATGAAGAAAAGAAAATTAGAACACTCTCAAAAATAGACGCGTGTCATCTCTGAAGAGGTTAACAGGATAGAATTTGATGAATGTCACTCGTCGCCTCTGCACACCAACCCAGTATAATCCTCCGAAACTCCTTTCTATTTACCTTTCATCGTGATATTCTCTGATGTGCCGTACTCTTACGGAGATTCGATAGGACTGCAATTTCACAGCATCGTACATATATATTTACGAATCTCCTTAGTAGCTTCCAACGCGCTCACGGTAAAGTCGGCTTCTTCTCTCTCCGATTCATGTGAACACGTATGTGTTCGTCGAGCACGCGACTATCGGCGACGGACATCGGCGACGTCCGGTATTTTACCTTATCGCTAACCCCCTGACCAATAAAGATGACCCCTATAGAGATAGTGCCGCGAAATACGCGGGCCATCCCGTTTCGGATTAACTGCCATCGCCATCTTGGGTTAAAGATCGTTTTCTCCTCGACGGTCAGATATAGTCGCGATATTAAGCTATGCAATCTAATCTCGTTCCTTCTCTCTCTCTCTCTCTCTCTCTCTCTCTTTCTTTTTCGGTCCCTCCCCTTCCACTTGAAGCGTTTGTTCGCGGGACGATTTTCTCGATGAACGACTTATACGCGAATCGACTGCCCGCAGATTTTCTAATCGCGCTTGCTCGGCACTAATAAACGCGCCGTGACGATTTGCGAAGAACGCGCAGCAAATTTTTATCGTGATCTATCCTTGCTACTGAGCTGACACGACTGACCTTTCGTGCGCGTATGATAACTTCATTGGAGATAATAACTTCATTAGAGATATCTGGCGATATTTGGCGACTCCAACCTTCTTTTCGTTTATTTTTGTTATTACCTTAATGAAACTACGAGGTTATCCCACTCGTCACAAATCGGAAGACCATTATATCTCCTCGTGATCTCTTTTCGTTAAAATGGGATTTATTCAATTTCGTTCCAGCAAAAATATCGCGATCATTTATAACCGCATCGAGTATCTCCCCCGATAAAATTCCCATGTTATTGTATTCACCATATCATCCCCCGTATCTCTACCGTTCTCAAAAGGAGATTTATTCAAGCTCTATGGAATGATTACGATTAACAAGAATCCGGTATAAATCCGATGCAGCGGATAAGCTCTTACCAACGTAGCGAACCAAGAAAAACAGAGGAGAGAGAGTAACTCGATATCCTCCGAGCCGCGCGGATATCTCATTCCCTTCGGTCTATTGGAAATATACGCAAAGTACAGACAGTTCATTCAAACTCTATCGAATGATTAACAAGAGTCCGATATAAATTCGACGTAGAGGATAAGCCGTCACCTTCCAACCCCATATCGTACGTATCAAGCCGCGAGAGATAGAAAGGTGTAGAAAGGACAAGAGAGAGAGAGAGAGAGAGAGAGAGAAGGAGCGACTTCGATATTCCTAAACCGAGGAGACCTCTCGAAAGCTTTAAATATCCCTTGCATCCCCCTTGCGAAATCATTTACCTTCTTAATTATACTCTTACAGTCTCCGAGGTCTTCCGCTCGTAGAATCGTCGATAAGCTCGTAGAAAGGCGAGCTTTCCGATCCTCCGTTCCCACACGAAAGCCTCTTCGTCCGTGTCCCTTCCGTTCATTTCGTTTCGCCTCACCTGTCTCACGATCCTCGCTGCGATCCTCGTTAAAACGAGATCTTGACGAAACATTTGCAGCAGCCACTACCACGACGACGTCCCGGCCGAGCCCGCCGTGGTTCATAACTTCGCAGCCGAGTGTCTGGAGCACCGCTAAGCCGACCGTCAGGCCTCCCTCGAGGATTACGACACCGGCAGTGCAGCAGCAGCCGCCCCAGCAGCCACCGGCGCCGTCCACCCCAGCACTACCTATAACGACACCGGCGAGGTTAGTCCGCTACCTAAATATAAGTAACGGGATCCAAGATGTGTGCGTCGTCCAGCGGGTTGAAACACGGGCGACTCGAACGTCAGTTTAGCATGACGTCAGTTTATCTATTATTAGAGTAAACACCGTTCGTCTTCAGCATCATCGACCATCGACCAGCTTTCCGTAAACGTAAGATACACGATAGTCGAGATGGTGGGAGAAAGTTAAGGCCGAAGGGGGAGAAAGAGGTTAGAGCGTTTAAAATCGTGGGTATAAAGTCACAGTTTATTCGCGATATGCCGCTGGCTCGGATTTAGCAGATCGAGAGGTGCAGGCGTGAAAAACTCGCGAGAGAAAGAGAGCTGATGCCTGACGTATCGTTGATCTTGCCATTCAAGCTTGCAGTCTGCTCGCGCAGAGATTACCGTCGTATACCGTCGCGCGTACTAAAAAAGTAATGGAGAACGAGACGCGCGAGCGTCGAGGAGCGAGCGAGATGGATCTTCGTCTGGCACCTCTTCGCCGGTCATTGATCTCACTCGATCATCGTGCGTATCGGGAACAAATATTTGCCTTCGCCGTCGTTAATTCGTATCGGGCGCGATCTAAGACGCGACATGAAATTCCGCTATGGTATATTCGGAGGGCCATCGAGAATAACGATCCTCCGTCGTTTGCAGCCCCACGTCGACGAGGTCCTTCGTCGAGATCGAGGTCGACGAGGAGGATCCGGGCTTAATACCTCCTGCGAACGGTTCTCCGGCGAATGTTCCGGGGATGCCGCCGATTATACCAGAGACCACTCAAGCCACGACAACGTCCACCTTCGTTCCCTGGAGAACCAGTCGAAGGACCACCGGTAAGTTGCCTTCTCGTTGTCGTCTGAGGAAACATTAGACATTAATACAGAGTACACGCCACTTTGAAGAACGATGTCGACCTCCCCGAGGCCATCATGTATGGGCTCGATCATTTCCAGGGGGAAAGAGAAGCCAACACGCGTTAACGTGCGTTGCGTTTAACGAAATAAGGTATGGCCGCTCTCGCTGGACTCGAAAGCCTGCGAGTCGCGAATATTTCGCGGAAACGGAGTCACATTCTCGGTAAAATAGTCGTCCCCCCCAGGACTCGACTCGCACGGTCCCATTGCGAATTGCACTTGTCCGACAAGATCGCCCGGCGCGCTTTCGATCGCCGTTGCTGCAGGCTACGCACCTGAGAGATTCCCGGTATATATAGTTTCCTTCGTCGATAGTCAATTAGCGTGTCCAACGGTCGTGTACGACAACCGCGGTAACAATCTTACACGGTGACAAGCTGTATCCCATTTTCCGCTGGTATCGCCGATTATCAAACATCTCATGTGTACACGTGAGTCCGGGGATAAGACGCTCTTGTCGGAGTGGCGCGCCGTAAGCATGATGGATGAGCGAACTCCGGGCGTTACGATCGTCGCGATCGCATGACCAAGTGTCAAGAGACACACAGACCCTGTCGGCTTTCGAAGTTCGATCTCCTTTTATTCGGTCCCTTCTCACGTCCCGTCTCACGTCGTCCTCGTCATCGTTCCACGACGAGCACGTCTGTCTCGGACACGGTGTTCGGTGAATCGTCGCGGGCGACCAGCGCGAGCCTCCGGCTCGATCGTGTCGGAGGCGCTAAAAGGCCGCTCACCCTCCCACCGAGAGAGAGAGAGAGAGAGAGAGAGAGAGAGAGAGAAAGAGAGAGAGAAAGAGAGAGAGAAGGCGGGGGAAAGAGGAAGCCGAAATTCCATTTGCGGGCGTCGTTGCGCGCCGAACAGCGTCCGTCCCCGAGGACATCGTGACGCCGGTATCGCATTAACGGAGCCACTGGGCCGTTAATCGGCCGTTAACCGGACGCGGCTACTTGAGACTCAAGCGAGCTGACCGTGATCGAGCGCGCGTAATGTTGTTTCAGTGCCTAGCACGCTGTACCCGGAGTCCAGCTCGAACGGCCAGTGGTACGACTACGGCAAACAAGTGTGTCCCCCGGTGGTCGCTAGGAACCTCTCCTGGAACACGACCAGGGCCGGCGAGCAGGCCGTACAGAGCTGCCCTGGCGGCGCCAACGGCTTGGCCAGGTGGAGGTGTCTGGTGAGCGGCGACACTGCCTTCTGGCACCTCGACAGCCCGGACTTGAGCGAGTGTCGGTCCGTCTGGCTGACCACCCTGGAGAACCGCGTGAGCGACGGCGACGTGATCCTCGGCATCAGCCGGGAGCTCTCGCAGGTGACGAACAACAGCCGCGGCCTGTACGGCGGCGACATGATGATCACCGCGAAGATCATCAAGAATATGGCGGAAAAGATGGCCTTGGACATCAAGACGTACAAGGACCCGAATCAGCGAGAGGTCAGCGTGACGGAGCTGCTGCAGGGTGTAGTGAGAACCAGCAGTAATCTCCTCGACAAGTCGCAGATGGCGTCCTGGAAGGACCTCGCTCATAAAGATCAGATGAGGGTCGCCACGTCGTTGCTGATCGGCCTCGAGGAGAACGCTTTCCTATTGGCGGACACGCTCATGCACGAGAAGACCATCAAGCATGAGGACAAAAACATCCGTGAGTACTGTTCACGATTATTGGTAATTGCCGCCGCGCGAGAGAGATTTACCGGAATACGCACTCATTATGTATGTATTCCGCTTTAGACACGCCGGCTCATTAAGCGCCTCAATACCGTCTTTATTAAGTTGTCATCTTTCGCCACTTACGCCGCTGAGTAATTGCGGCCTACAATTTTGAATATACGCTCGCTCTTTTTGCTGCGCCATGCGTTAATGCAGAGCTGAATAGGATCGCGCCTTCTCTCTCTCTCTCTCTCTCTCTCTCTCTCTCTCTCGCTCTCTCTCTCTCTCTCTCTCTCTCTCTCTCTCTTGCTTCGGAAAGAAGAAGCGCGTTTTTTGCCTTCGAGCCTCGCCGTTACATCGTCGAGCGTAAATTCAGAAGAACGTGAGACAGAAAAAGCACATCATTATCCGCAGGAGGAGAGAAAAGAGAGGTACATCCGCGCGAAGGCTGCGAAAATTTCCGCGCGCGCTCGATAACTCTCTAATTTATCGCCATCGGACACGGCAGATCATGAGGGCGATTCAGCCAGTCGATGCCAATTATCCGTTTCGGTCTTTTTTTCGCCGCGACAACTCGGAATTCTCAGCAGCGGCAAGCTCGCGGTATATCTTTAACTGGAGAATTGTCGCTCCACCCCCGCGCTCTGCGCCCATTCTCGTGTGTTCGGGCGTGTTTCGAAAGTCACGCAACGCGAGAGAGAGAGAGAGAAAGAGAGAGAGAGAGAGAGAGAGAGAGAGAGAGAGAGAGAGAGAGAGAGAGAGAGAGAGAGAGAGGGAGCGAACGCATATTCCGCTCGCCTTCGGCGCTCGTCGCGGCCCGATCGAATGATTTATATCGCTTGCGCTCACCCAACACCCGGTAATCTCCGATATAGATAAAATACAGATCCGAATCCATCGTTATTCTCCGCGCACCCGGCCGGATTACGACGTAATCCGCGCGGGTATGCGATGCGAGCGCGCGCGCGCTATTATTATTACAAAACGGCGGTAGAATTACGGGCGACTTGATTTACTTCCCGGAAGTGCGTCGCGCGGCTCGATTGTGCCGGCGCGCTGTGTACGCGGTATCGCAGCGTCATCAGATGCACTCCTGATAAACTGCATAACGACGACGAAGAGCAAAAAGCGCCATGGCAGGAGGAGGAGGAGGAGGAGGAGGAGGAGGAGGAGGAGGACAGAGAGGGCAAAAGAGGATAGTTGATGAGCGACAGCCGGTCGGATGCTGCGCAACGTCCTCTGTCCTGCGGAAGAAAAATCGAAACCGCATTAAGTCCTCCTTCCTGGCGACGGTTTGATAGCGCGATCGGCTCTTTAATCGTTCGCTTCGCGGCGGAACTCAAAGAACCTCTGCCGGCGCGCAAGGTTTCTTCGCGTGATTCGACACATCGCGACCGCATTTCGACGCAGGTTTCTCATCGAGAGTATCGCGTTATTCATCACTGCTTTTTTTCAAATTCTGATAGAGAAAGAGAGATATATATTTCGCGCGGCGACTGGAACTCTCCGTATCTAAAAGTTCGTCGAATAACGAAGGATCAAGAATTTAGTCGAGAATCGAGAATCTGTTTGAGCAATTCTTTATTTTAACATCAACACCAACCGGTGTTGGTGCATTTCAATTAATCGATTTGTTGTACATCAATATTTGAAAAAGAAAAGACGTTAGACTCTCGAGGTGCGTTCGAAACGAGTGTTCGAACACACACACACACACACACACACACACGCATATAGAAGAGCCGCTGTCCCGCCGTTAATGTAATTTGCGTCTTCTGCGAATTCACGAGTAGAATTCTCGTGGAACGCGTTAACCGCGCCGAGGGAGAGGTAAACTTACTCGCCTAATTACCCCACGTGCGTGTCTCCACCACAGTGATGGAAGTTCGCGTACTGGACGCGCGCAACATCGACAACGAGCTGGAAGTTTTCCCGAGCGAGGCCGCCCTCCAGAAGTGGATCTCGAACGATCGCGTGGAACTTACCAGAGCCGCTCTGCTGGACAACAGCCAGTCCGGCATCGTACGGCTGGTCTTCATGGCCTTTGACAGGCTCGAGGAGATACTGCAGCCGCAAGCGGAACCGCCGTCCGTCGTCACGAACGGCAATTCCCAGCAACGTAGGAACGCCACCAGGCTCCTAAACAGCAAAGTTATCTCGGCGTCCTTGGGAAAGGGCCGGCATATACAGCTCTCGGAGCCCGTCCGGGTGTATTTCAGACACCTGGCGGTCGAGAACGTCACCAACCCCACTTGTGTCTTCTGGGATTACATCTTGAGGTAATTTCGCCTTCTTCCTCGCCCGCCGATCCTGTTACCATCCTGGGCAACGTCTCGGGAATGTCTCGCGCGATGTCTGCTCCTTATTTCTCCATTTCCAACTTTCTTCTCGCGTTTTCCGCGCGCCGCGTCTCGCGATGCACCGCCGCGAAAGGGGAAATTTATCTCTCACTGTTTGTTCGCGTGGGAACTTGAAAATCTGCAAATTCTTTGGTCAAACGTGACGTATGACGTATTGACGAAGGTTTCGAGATAAACTTGCATCCCGACAGAACAGAGAACTCGCTGAGACACCTCATGCCCTTCAATTTCGCGCGTAACTCTTATAATTCTTCGATGGGGAGAATCCGCGTCCTCAAATTGCCTCGATCGCGAATATTTTTGCGCGCCTCACCGTGCATAGGCACGGAGAACGATCGACAGCACGGACAATGCATAACGCAGTTCTGCACGCGATATCTTATTTCCCGTAGCGCTTGGTCGGAAGAAGGATGCCACATACAAAAGACCAACGAGACTCACACCGTGTGCGAATGCAATCATCTGACGAACTTTGCCGTGCTGATGGACGTGCACGCCGTCAGACTGGACATCGCTCATCAGGTCGCGTTGCAAATCATCACGTATATAGGCTGCATCATTTCCGTCGTCTGCCTGGTCCTGGCCATTCTCACGTTTCAATTATTTCGCGGACTGAAGGTAATGTATAAGTGCACCTGTGACCGGCAGATCGATCGATCTGCGGCGACGGCACGATGAGACTTTTTATTTCACGACTCCCGTTTGTGCAGTCGGACAGGACGACGATCCACAAGAACCTCTGCGTGTGCCTGCTGATAGCCGAGGTGCTCTTCGTCTGCGGGATCGGCCAGACGAATCAGAGAGTCGTCTGCGGCATCGTCGCCGGCTTGCTGCACTTCTTCTTTTTGTGCGCGTTCGCCTGGATGTTCCTCGAAGGTCAGTCATTTTGTAATTGTAATTTCTAGTAGCTCGTTACATCGCTGAGATTTTTGCCGTTACCTATTCGTCACTTCACAATAATTCTCACATTAAACATTTCGTTCGAGCTGTTTGGCAGTTCAAGCCGAGGAATTCTCGAGTGTGACAGCTCGTCGTGCGTCACATTTACCATAAAGTCGTGATTATTCAAGTGAACATTTATTGTTGTTGATTACTGTGAGTTATTAATAATTGCATTATCATGGTGACTCGTGTTTATAGTTCGTCGTAAAACAACAATAAACAACACAACTCTCCTATTATATAATTATAGCCCTGCGGGATGCGCGGCATATGTATAGGTAGGCGCAGTATTTACATTGTTGCGAGTACACAATCACGGGATTACACGTCACGTTGCAGGATTCCAATTATACGTGATGCTGATTGAGGTTTTCGAGGCGGAAAAATCTCGGCTCCGATGGTACTATCTGGTTGCGTACGGCGCACCGCTGGTGGTAGTCGGAATTTCGTGCATAATCGATCCACTCAGCTACGGTACCGATCAGTATTGCTGGCTACGGGCAGATAATTATTTCATCTTCAGCTTCGTTGGGCCCGTGTTACTCGTTATACTGGTAATTAGCCGATATACATTATCAACTAAGTAAACAGCAGGAGCGATCGACTGGTTCGGGCGAAACGCCTGTCGCTTTCGCGAGCGACTACGTCGCTTGAGAAAGACAGACTTCAGCCTGATCGCACTCAGGCAGCCGCGTCCGAGAGAACACAACGATGATCGATTGAGTCACCTCTTGTTCGCAGGCGAATCTGGTGTTTCTGACGATGGCGATTTACATGATGTGCCGGCACACAAACACCACCGTGGCGATGAAGAGCAAGGAGCACTCCCGTTTGGCTAGCGCAAAGTAAGCACAAGTGGTCCCTAGTAGCCTGTTCATAGTAAACCACCATCGTGATTTGCGAACTGTATATATACCGTACATATCTATATATATATATATACACATATATATTTATATACCAGTCGAGAATCCGTCCGTTGTCCGTCACATTCGAGATTTGATCCTCCCGTCGAAGCGTAGCAGTCGAGATGTTTGTTTGGTGCTTTCGGTTTACACATTCGCAAGCTTTACTCGCTTTAAAGAGATCTCCCGAACGCGGATCTTGTTGTCACGCATCTTTTTGGCGGCCATGCTGACTTTTTTTTAGTTTTGGTTTATGAGTTCTGTGTTTGGAATGACCGCAGATTTCGTTCGTTCGACACACCACTGTATTGCTGTGTGATATTTATTTAGGATGTACGAGAGTATATCGTTCGATTGTTACACAGAGACGGTCGTACATGACGTATGCAGGGTGCGCCATTCGAAAAGTTTCGAAGTTGAGATGACTGTCAAAAGCGATAAAAGTGGTACGGACCACGAGTTGTGTAGATTTACGGATTCCTCCTTCCCTGAGATTCTCGGTCTTGAATTTGCCTCAATGCTGTGTCCGGTGGCAAGAGATCAGTATTATCGAGAAATATTTCGGATAAGCTGTAGTGAACATTTTAGAACGTCTTCAAGGCACGTGATTTTCTTCAGCCCGTAGACATTAGATTTCATAGATCCGTATCATTTTTATAGATTTCGAGTTACACGGGTCGTTGTATCTGTAAACCCTTAATTCGGCTAGTCTTTATAGATAATCGTAATGAGTAAAATATTGTAGAATTGTGTTATTTTTAACTTATTCCTTCCTTGTCGAGGAACACCCTGTATATCGCCGCGTTTAAGTGACGGATTTTGCAAGTCGGTAAATCTGTACGAAATTATCATGAAAGAAAGGATAAAAAGAAACGAATAGATATTTGATTGATCTTTACAAAAAAAAACTGAAAAAAAAAAGTAGAAAACATGATCGTTTTGGTGATGGTAGTGAAAAGAGAAAAGAAAATTTGTTGCAATCCCGATTCGGATTATTACAGATGACATTTCTCCGCGATGTGTTCAAAAGTTTCGACCCTTGTGTGATCTTTCTTTCTTTCTTCTTCTTCTTTGTTTTTCTCGTCACCGAATGAGAGAGAACGCCGTGCTTTGCCGCGCTCGGCGGGAAGTAATGCGAATCGAGCATTGCAAATCAGAGAATAAGCTATAATCAATTAATTAATGGTGCCGGAACAATCACCTAACTACTGTCTTGTTTCATTTTTTGTATTAAATCTTCTACCCACTTCTGTCTACACTGTTCTACATTCTTCTGCATGGCGTGGTTGGTTGGTAGTGGAAAGGAAGAGAATGCTCTTCCCAACAAATTGCAAGCGCACTTGTAAGATATTTACCATTTTTATTATTACTCACCCGTGTCATATATCGTTAACATCATCACTAATCGCCATCTGCTCGTCTCGTTCGATACCATTTTGTTTTATTTCGTTTCGATTTGATTTGATTTTTTCTCTTTCTTTCTTTGGTCCACATTTCAGTTCGATTAAGCTGTCCGAATATCATATCACTACTGATTTCGTGAACATAGCCCGTAGATTCTAGTCTCTATCACATCATCACATCGGAACACTCGCCGTATTCGTGTGACATCGTGATATTCACAGGAAATGTGATTTACAGCAGCTTCAGCAAGTATTCGTGCGCGTAATGTAATTAATATTGCAATTGAAGGAATAAGTGTATTACGACGGCACGTTGTGTATGTTCTGACGCTTATGAACTTCAAAGTCAAATTAATAGACGCGACATCTAATTAGTGACTTAATCTCGCATATCAATGCTGTATGTACGTGAAGGAGAACGAAAGAGGAAGAGAGAAAGAGAGAGTCAATTCAATGTCAATACATATACATTATATTCCGTCGTTAAATCGATAATATCCTGCAACGGCAGGAGTAGCAAAATATTATTGATCAGAATTCTACCGGAAGATGATGTTTAAAAATTATATATATATATATACTTGCTTCTTCCGTCATAATAATCGATCTCTAAATCCCTTTTTATGTTGACTTGCCGTTCATATGTCGCTACATGCATATCTTTGCACATCTATGTGATCAATAACAGTGCAATTTATTTATGTAATTGATACACGCTCTCATGATAGATAATTCAAGCTCGTGCCTTGGGCAAAACTGTTAAAATCGATATGTAAGAGAAGTATTTTGCTCGAGAACAATTGTACTATTGACAGCTCTCAGTTGCATCGCGAGGGAAATTTTTACTCGTCGACCTGCGACGTTCCCATAATAGCCGAGGCCGACGTTCGATATGTACACCAATGAATACGTCATCTGTGTCACATATATACATATATATATATTTATTCTGTCACTTGCACTTCCTCTGAGTAGACACGATGGTTCACTGCATGTAGTATTCTCCTTAGTTTCGGGTATATTACGCCTGATTTACAAGTAGATAGACGTGGAAGTACCGTAGAGATATATCCGCCTACCTGTGTAACGCCACCTTCTAATCACAACGATTTAGATAAGACGTCTCGCGATCCCGGCGACGCTCAAAGCGGCGGTCGCGTTGCTCGCGAAAATAAAAGCCCCGGCTCCGTATAATGTCGCAATACTTAAACGTCAGCCCCGCGACGCAACGTGTCGCGTGCTTCACGACGATGACGACGACGACGACGACGCTACATGACGTGACTGTCGCGCTATTTTTTTTTCTCCTTTTTCCTCTCGACGTCGCGATACACTAATGCCGAGCATTAAAGCGAACAATCGACCGGAGGAGCTTGAGATCGAGCGTGATCATTTCCTTCCACGAGAAGGGAAGTAATTTATGAAGGAACAAAGGAAATTATGCAGAGAGGAAACGCTCCTCAAAATAACGTAAAGCGACTTGTCGCGAGAGTCTTCCAAGTTCGAAATTCCGCGGAACGCGTGCGCGTACATGTACGAGACGTCCGACACGAGACTCTGACGACCCCGTGAGAATCGTGCTTCCGTTAAAGCCGCCGCGCCGCTATGTGGGATACGTCGGTCCTCTTTAAGCGCCGCCATCGCGATTTGTATTGTTACAACAGAAAGCTGGCTCGCCGTTCGCCGATGTAATTTATTATTCTGTATCTTCTGATCAGAGCCTGGCTGCGGGGCGCTATCGTGCTGGTGTTTCTACTAGGTCTGACCTGGACATTCGGGCTCCTCTACTTGAACCAGGAGTCCGTCGTGATGGCGTACATCTTCACCGTATTGAATAGTCTCCAGGGGCTGTTTATCTTTGTGTTCCATTGCGTACAGAACGAGAAGGTAAGGGAATACGTCGGGGCGCAGAAGTCCGCCTTGATTTAGAGATCGCAACAACAGCGCCAGATATGTTTCCTGGAGAGAGAGAGAGAGAGAGAGAGAGAGAGAGAGAGAGAGAGAGAGAGAGAGAGAGAGAGAGGGAGAGAGAGAGAGAGAGAGAGAGAGAGAGAGAGAGAGAGAGAGAGAGAGAGAGAGAGAAACAACAAAATTTGAAATTCTTCGAAAAAATATGTGTGCTACGATTTTTATCGGGATAAGAATGATCTCTCGCGCGACTCTCCGCGAGATTGCAATTTGATCTTCTCCGCGAGGCTCGATCTCTCCCTCAGCCGTGGACTTCTTTTCGAGGTAACTCCGCGAACTCTCACCTTTCGTCGCCTGGAAAATCTGTGCGAAACTTCGATTTCTTCACTGTGAGATCTTGCGAGTTGTAATGACACCTTTATACGTCGTTTCCGTTTTTATATATAAATTGCCATGTGTGAATCTGAGATCCCGAGAATTTTTTTAGCGCATAAGTTTATAACGTATTATATTGTCGATTGTGTATGCAGTCGATGCTAATCAATATTATTGTCGAGACACACGATAATCATGTTAACGATAACGTCGTGCTGTTTCGCTCACGAATATAAGTGCAGAACATGGAGATGGGATAAGTGGTCTGTTTAATAAAGTGCTGTGGGGCAATATGAATAATTGGCGTTTATTTCGCGCGCTTTCGCCACCCGTAGCTCGCTTCTTATGGTTTTGCCGGAGTACTTTGACTTTGTTTCATTTTTTTCACGTTGTTTCATTTTTTATTACCACCGCGAGGAGCACCGATGTTATTCTCATTTCTCATTAAAATCGGCACCAAACTTGCTCGTTCCACCATGGATCGCACTTTATTCTCACGAATCGTCGCAGACGGCCTTCTCACCCTTGTCCGAAGGCGAGAGTGGTACAATGCGAGATACAACGTGACAGTCGAAAGGACGAGTGAAGTATGTATGCGCGCTACATTTTCTTCGAGTGTATTTTCGAGTGTACCGACAATTTTATTCGAGTACATATATCGTACGAAACACTTGTGCGAAATATTGGAATAAAAAGACAATCTCGACGGTCCGTAATCAAAGAAAATGTATTATAGAAGCTAGAACCAGCACTACCAATTGAGCAAAATCTGACATCTTCGGTCCTTGCTCTTTCGGAGGCTCTTCAGTGATGAAGATGAGAATAAAGCAGAAAGAAATGTTGCAAAAATTGTTGAAAAATTAACGACAACTGTCAAAACGCTAAAATAAACGCAATTGATCAACTGCCCGTTATTCCGCGACAGACAAAAATCAATATTTTTTCTTGTGCATTTTACCGAAACCGGCAGAGTCGATGAAGAAGAAATGTAAAGAGCGAAATACACGCTTCCCTCGTTTGTTTCATTCGACGATATCGTTCTCGCCACGAGGCCGTCTGCAATCTCTGCGACGATATCCGGGCCCGAGACGATGCGGCCGCATTCGCATCTCGCACGTTATCTCGCACGGACCTTAGTTCTTTCACGCACCGTTAAACTCGTTTCGTTGGGTCGGGCGGGCCTCTGCTTCGCTCTTGCAGGTGAGGAAGGAGTACCGGAAGTTCGTCCGCCGCCACTCCTGGCTGCCCAAGTGCCTGAGATGCTCGAAGACGGTGACGGGCGGCTCGGCCGGCTCCACCGGCGGCAGCGGCGGCACCGGCGGCGCCAACGGCGGCAAGGACTTCGCCTCGCACAACACCTCGTCGAACCCGTCGGCCCCGACGACCGACAGCTCCGGATTGTCGCCCCACGCGGCCAGCAACGCCAACCATGTGGGTACCAACGCCGGCGCCACGTCACCGCCGAACAATCACAACAACCTGACCGCCACCTGTAACAATACGAATCTTTCGATAAACGTGAACCTGAACAATTTGTCGCTGAGGTCGCCGGTCGGGGCACACCAGATGCACATGATGGCACCTAGCAACCACAATAGGCATCCCGCTCAGCAAGGTATCCAAACGCCGCTTATACACCAAACCGAGATTCGCGGATAACGAAGCGAAGCGGAGACAGGGAGCTGTTGGCTCCGCGGGGTGATTAACAGTGACCGATATTCCGGAAGTTGGGGGTTCTCGTCGTGCCTTGTTGTAACTTCATGCTCTCGCAGTCGTGCTTGCGGATAACACCACGTCGGTTTCCTTTTCATCTTCTCAGCTCGATCTTCTCAGGCCCGAATTGGTGAACACTAACCGTGGCCAACCGAACGAGAGTTTGCTTCTGTAACTTGTAAATATGTAAGTGACGTATGTTCTCACGCGATGTCATGTTGCTCTAAAAGAGAAAAAGAGAGAGAGAGAGAAATAGAGAGAGAGAGAGAGAGAGAGAGAGAGAGAGAGAAATAGAGAGAGAAAGAGCTGGAGCTTATCTTGGAGAAAACTGTCTTGAACTTGATCTAGTGAGAGCTGGAAGATCGATTAAACTCCACGTGAATTCGGTACAAACATCCGCTAAAATCCGTTGCAAAAAAATCCAATACGCTTCAACTTCAGCATGAGAATATTGGTTACTGCATCTTCTCGCGGGGCGGCCGCCAAATTGAAGTAGGAGTCAACAAGGGGAACGTGCGTCTTCCTCTCCCCCCTCTCACTTTTTTTATGACACAGCAATGACGGTGCAATACTTGGTTATCGCGAGACGCGTAATCAGTTTCCGATATTGTACGGATAATGTCAGACAAATACATGCGTTGCAAAGTCGCGTATGCTCTCTCGAGGAGTCAGGGTGATTCCTAAGAATCGAGAAACTGCGCGTTTCTTTCTTTTTCTCTTTCTCTTTTTCTCTTCCTCCCTTTTTTGACCTCTTTTGTATATTCTTTTCTCGCTCTGCAAGTAACGCAAGTATGATCCGTCTGTTAATAATAATTATTATTGCTCACTTTTTGCCTGCCGCTCAGAATTCAAGCCTGCCTTCCCTCAAGCTTGCCCATGGCGCGATCAAGAGGTCGCCATGACTAGTCACCGTTTTTCCATGCGACTCGCAATTTCCGTCCATCTCTCTCGATTCTCTCGGCGCGTGCAGACAGATCTCGCGTTCGTGTTGCAAAATGTGACTTGATAAAACGCTCACAATTTCGTGCTCGTAACTTGTTCAAATTAGCAAGATGATTCACAAAAGTCCAAAATACATAAATGTCTCTCTTTCGTTCAACATGCGTCGAATTTCTTATTGAATACATCGCGAAACAAACGAGCCCCGCTACAGTTGAAAGTTCCATTACCTTCGCGCGTAAAGATTAATAATGTACACTCGAGGACTTTTCTGCTTTTTAAGAGTGACTTGCAAAACGGTGTAAAGTCGTGCAATAGCAGCATATGTACAATGCTCTAATAAACAGAAACATTTTTTCTGAAAAATTCTTCGACACATAGAATTGACAGCGAGTTACCCATGGCCGTACAGATAAAAATTCTATTCTTTGAAAAAACAGCTTTGAAGGGCGCTCGTAATAAGTGTTAAGCGTACACCTGGCTTTAGCGTTCGAAACCGACATGTGCTCGAAAGCTTTTTTTTGTGTTATCAGCAAGTCACTTCAAAAACTGATTCGCAGAACGGCGGGCTAAAAGGCATTTAACGAACCGTTCGGCTCTTTCGACCCTGTCGCGCTCAGAGAGTCGTAGAGAATTGGCCGACAAAAATAGAGTGAGAAGAAGAGAGAGAGAGAGAGAGAGAGAGAGAGAGAGAGAGAGAGAGAGAGAGAGAGAGAAACTAGCGGAACAAAAATGTATTCGGAAGAGAGATTGTTGAACGTGCTCATGTATGCTATTGTAGAACAGCCTGTGGAGGAAAACGTCAGCCTCGGAGGAAAATACTAATATGTTAAAAATTCCCAAAAATATAACAGACCGCATAACGTTTGGACACGGGTTACTCTTTTCTAGAATTTCAATTCAAAAAAAATTCTAATTTTCACTATCGATTGTATCCCGCATTGATTTGGCCTCTCGTGTAGAATTTGACGGATGTTCCGTCCGATTTAAACGCAAAGCTCCGTACACTCTCTTCGCTCTTTATTCCGCGTATATTTGCAACAAGATTCAGAATTCTTTTGCACTTCGAGATTTGCAAAATAGCGGGATAAAAAGTCTTAGAGTTCGCGATATAAACTTTTTATCACATTTTTTTTTTAATCACGTAACATAAAGCGGGAGAGATTCGCCGTCGAATTAACGTTTCTCTCCCGTTACGACTTACTCTGTACGGCTGTCAGAATTCCAGTAGAATGGAATCCTCTAACTAGATCGTCGATTAATGTCAAATGTATCGTTTTACGCTTGTTCAGAAGGTAACGAGAATCGGTGCTTCTTCTTCTTGATCTCAATTTAATTCGAGCGCTTCGTTAATACGACATCGTTGTACTTCCAATTAAGGTTGTCTCTCTCGACATCGTTCGGCGTTTCTTATCTGAAATATCAAGTAACGGATAACTGTCTACAATCTTTTTGAGAATCTTGAAACGGGAAAGCACCGAATAATCTCGAGTGTAATAGACTAGCTAAATTAAAACGTAGCGTTCGATAGTTCAATTAGTTTCAAACGAGTCTGTTTCTTTTTCTCTTTCTCTCTCTCTCTCTCTCTCTCTCCCTTCCGCTTCTTTGGCCCCTTCATTTTTTGCATCTCAAGAGATGAATTCGGCCTGAGACGTTCTTTCCGGATTACCAATTCGAGATATGCCCCCGACGATGTGTCTCCTGTTCTGTAAATAACGCGGCGGAAGGCAGGCAGGCACAGCACAAACACAACTCGAATTCGCACTCTCGCGAGCACGCTCGCCCGCAAGACTTCCTACTAACAGTGGTGATTTCCGTGCTTCTCTTATCTGGCCTCGGGGTTTGGTGTAACGCGGTTGCTGGCTACTTTGTACCCCTCTTTTACGCCCCCCTGCCCACTCCCCGCCACCTTCACATGAGCCCTTTTCTCAGCGCGAGTCGCCGACGACTCGCGCGCCCTTTATTTCAGATCTGCCGGGGAGCGTCAATGAAAATCTCTGTAAGCAGGTAAAAGAGACAGCGCTCACGCACGCTGCGATTTCCACGTGGTGGAAATCATCACGAGCGCGGATTCGTAACGTCGGTTACATCCGCGCGGTCGTGACTTACGATCGCAGCTGCGCGTCGCACCGCGCTGCCACCAACTGCCGTCGTTAACCCTCTCGGTCGTCATTTCTGACATGTCGGACGAGTATCATTTCGTCGACGAGATGAGACGATTAGTCTTCTTCTCTGGTAACAACCGACTTTTGCGCTATTAGAAGAGCGAGCCGCTCGCTAACGATCGATATGTCGCTTGTATCGCCGGTCGTGCTTGTAAAAAAGTCACCCCGTCAATTCGCCGTGATACGCGTTACGTAAATTTGAGACGGATCGCCGATGTTACGCCGGGGAACATGTTACGTAAATTTGAGAGAAAATCACATTGATTGTATCGCTACGTCATCTTTCCGCGGGAATACGACTTCCATCTCCGTGCGAGATTCGGTAGTTGAACGGAGAGAACGTGCAGCATCGTAAAATCGGCAAATGCCGCTGCAATACTGAGAGGGTTAATCGCGACGGGACCATGTAAAAATGTAATTTAGTTTAATGATGATCCCGACGCTCTGTATTTTAATACGCATTATCGAGCAGATCGCACGCAATTCCTCTACGACGGAGGGCTTTCAAGCGAACGCACTTCCGTCGCGGCGATGGGGAAGGTATACGTTTAGAAAGATTCGTAATGTACCACAGCGGACCTTATTTTTTTTCTCTCTCAACTCTAACTAAACACGCGAAGGGCGGAGTACGAAGGGATGCAGGCACTCTATGTAGGCACTCACACGTCGCGTCTCACGTCGTTTTGCTCTCTTGCACTCCACGGTACTTCCGTATTCCGCCCGGACGCGCGTCCTCCTCGAGTAATTAAGTGGTTTTTTTTCCCTACCTACGAACGACGGTCGATCGATCGATCGATCGGTCGGTCGGTCGGTCGGTCGGTCGGTCGGAAACGCTTCCCCGAAGACGCGACTGTTCGCAGCGGCAATGCGTTTCCTTCGGATCGAACTATGGCCGACATATTTCACACGGGGAAGAACGCGGCATTTAATCCTTCGCACGTGGAGCGAGCGACATTGCTTCGCTCGCTGCGTTATTTGTTGCTACCGTTGAGATGTGACAATTTTTACATTCATTTTAAACGTTGAATTTATCGCTTTTAGCACGAAATATTTTAAAAAATATAAATATTATCCGAATCGCGTTTTGAACAAAATCGACGAAAAACGAAAGGCGCGCGAGAGGAGAGGAATCGAGTCGATCGAGGTGTCGAATATTCGAAAACGAGAAATTTCACTCTCTCTCGAAGCTCGAAGCGCGATAACATGAGAAGGATAAAGATAAAGGATAATCGAATTGGCGCTTCAAGTGCGAAGGATTAAGAGGCGTCCGAACGCTCGCTCAGGCACTACTCACCCACACGGTCAGCCTCTTAATGGAAAATGACGGAAAAGGGAAAAGAAAAGAAAGATATACGGGCGAGGAAAATCCGCGCGAAGCGATCCGTTACATCTGTCACACCTCCACCGCATCACACATGCTCATTCACCGGCCACCTTCGCTCTCTGTCACTCTCTCTTTTTCTCTCTACTACTCCTATCATCCGCTAGTTGCGTCTTGCTGATTTAACGTCAGACCGCATAACCACGCAACGAGGTAAAGTATAGAGGCGACAGGCTAATTAGGTCACCCCGACCATTAGGTGGCCATTCGCCAAGAAGACAGTATACAGCCCATCTTCCTCGCAGCTCAAGAAATACCCACGAACAAATCCCGCCCCCGGTATCCCCGAAAGAACGATATTCTCTGCAGCCTGAAAATTCGAAAATCACTTTCAGTCCTAATTTCAAAGGCACTCTCCCGTCATCTCTCCCGATTCTCGCGCGCACGCGCGCGCGCTCATCGGACAAAGTATCCTGTAACTTTTACGCGAGAATCTTCCCCGCGCTCGAGTACCTTTCTCCATTCAAGGATCCGATCGGTCGCGAGATTCCGCTGTTACGAGGACGATTTACCGGGAGGACACGGCGCGGCATTCTTTTTCCGATGCGTGTCGGGTCGTAGGTTTCGTAGCTTTCGAGCGGAAGTCCGGCTGTCCGGCGGTCGCGTGACCCGTCCCTATAGAGTCGCGAAACAGGCGCAATCATGTGTCGTCCTCGCGCAACAAACACGCAACGGCACGTCTGTCCGTCGAAGGGCGGTGCGGGCGGGCGGGAAGGAAGGAAGGAAGGAAGGAAGGAAAGCAGGCGAGCAGGCGAGCTCGCGGAGGGTGGAAAGAGGCCGCGCGCGCGCGACGTCCGAGGCGTTGTCCGAGGACCGACGTCGGCCGCGTGCGTGCCGACGTCGCGTATCTCAGGCCGCTACGTCGTAGATTCGCTCCCGCACGAGTTAAATCCGTTCCGCTTCCGGTAGCCGCGCGAGAGAGATACCGCTGGATGTGTACGGCCCATATCTCCTCGCCGCTGTATGTGTACGCGGCGTTCGGCCGCGCGAAATCTACAGCGCGCCCTTTCCTCCCTTTCCGTTCCAAACGTATCCAGACGATTATGTATCCTAATTGGCGCAACGAAGTCTCTCTCTCTCTCTCTCTCTCCCTCTCTCTCTCCCCCTCTCTCTCTCTCTCTCCCTCTCCCTCTCTCTCTCTCTCTCTCTCTCTCTCTCTCTCTCTCTCTCTCTCTCTCTCTCTCTCTCTCTCTCTCTCTCTCTCTCTCTCTCTCTCTCTCTCTCTCTCTCTCTCTCTCTCTCTCTCCCTCTCCCTCTCCCTCTCTCTCTTTCTCTCTCTTTCCCTCTCTCTCTCTCTCTCTCTCTCTCTCTCTCTCTCTCTCTCTCTCTCTCGTCTGCCGTCGCTTCATCGATCGCTCTTCCTTCCGCTCCCAGTAATTTCAATCGCTACGACGCGTACGCGACGGAGATAAGACATCGCAGCTCGCGTGCGCTCGGACTCCTGCAGCGGAGGACTCGACTTTTGGCAATTTTCCTCCTTGGGTACTCCGAATTGTACTCTGAGAAAATGCTCGAACTGTTTTGAGATCCAGTGTATCCCTCAAACGAAGTCTCTCCCGCTCTGTTTACGTTGAGTTGGTCGGTCCAGTGATTTTCGAAGCGTTTCAGGCTGGACTCCTCCAAGCTCCTCTCCCCCTCTCCCGGCCTTGCTCTCCCGACGAAACAAAGTCGCTCGTAAAGGATCGGTGTGGTTGCTTGCTGTGTGAGGAACCCTTTGTTTACTGACTGCGGTAACGAGATCGTCGCGTCGTCGAGTCCACTACGCCGGCTATCTTTGCTGGGCGATCGCGTGAGTGAATCGTCACTCTCGCTCGGCTCAGACGACGACGTCGGTGCATCCACACGTTTGAACACTGTATCACGAGCAACAGCAGCGAGGCCAGGCTGGACTGGCCTGCCTGTTGGATCGGTAAACGAAGGGTTAAATGGCCAACGGCGGATTGGTTGCTTTTGCAGTACTTGGTATCCGGTCGAAGCTGGGCGATAGTCGATAGGCAGCCGGCAGTAACGGTGCCAGGTGAACCCTCCTCGACCGAGACTCACATCGTGGCCACCCTGCCGTACGCACGTCACGCCTTCTTACCCTCAGCTCCCAATATCCCCAAATCTGCCACCGCCACTTGGGGCCACCTTAACAAAAACCTCATGTGGAAGGTAACTAATTCACCGCTGAACTCGCTCGCTCGCTCTCTTTCTCTTTCTCTTTCTCTCTTGCTCTCTGTCGCTGTGTTTCTTTCTCGTTATCGCTCGGAGGGGCGGCTCTACTAGTGCGGCGAACTTCGGCGCAATTGTCTGAGGATTTTTTTACGAAACTCTTGCCCTCGAGAACGTTACGTGGATATTACCCCGTGTAGGCGCGGTAAATTTGTAATTTTCGTAATTTTCTCAGCGGGTTAATTGGAACAATCGAGACGTTCGGACGGCGATGGAATAATTTGCTCTCGTTATATTTCTCAAATAATAATAATAATAACAATAATAATAATAATAATAACAAAAAGCGCGCTTTATTGAAACACATTAGATTAGATCGGAATGCAATTTACGGGTACGTGCGTTTGCAATTTTGCTAATTTGATGTATTTAATTAATTCTTCAATCGTTCCGTCTTCTTCACGCATCGCACGTTACGATTCGGTAGGTGTAAAAATTCATCGCAACTCTTGATGATATTAAGACAATTACAGTCCCGCTCGCTACCCGCGTTTTTCTCAAAGGCACCGCTTTATCTTTACCCGGCAACTCGCTCGTTCTCATGCTAAAGCATAGCTGAAACGCGCGGCACATCCGCGAAATGTTTCGAGATCATGATGGGTCTTCGTATTTGCGAGCGGCTCTGTTTGCCGAGCCGCCCGCGCCGCTCCCCGCATTGACGAGAGATCCTCGCTAAATATGATCTTTACGTTCGCAAATAGCTGGCGTTTACAAGAATTAACGATGGTCTTTGTGTTCTCTCGCGGAGGATCGCGCATTTACGAAGATCATACTAATCGAGGATATAGTTCACGCATACGCAAACACCGCGGCAACCGCGATCCCCGTGTTTGCGAGCATCCTCTAGCGAGAATCTCGCTGATTATGACTTTGATATTTGCTTTATTACAACACGCTTCTCTCTCGTATTTATACAAAGACGTCGCTAAGCTAAACGCGCACGCGACTCGCATCCTCGCGTTATCCTCGCCGATACATCGCCGCAAAGCCTAGAGCCGTCTCCGCTCGTCGTGCCCGTCTCGTCTTGTGGTCGCTCTCGCTCTCTGTTTGTTTCTCTCGTTTTTTTAATTTTTGCATGGTATGCGATATTAATTTTCACACTCACGCACAGCACGCAGTCACCTTTACGCATCCCAGGAGCAGGCCCGATCCGAATTTTGAGCATGGAGATGCGGACATATCTTGTCGCGGTGTGTAAAGTGAGATTATTTTTCAAGGTGGCGACACGGCTTGCGTCATTGTCTCTCCTCTCCCTCTGATGACTCCCTTTGTTCTCACATGCTCGATGTTTCGAAATTGGAACAATTAGTGCCGCCCCGTAACTCAAAAGTAAACGGGAAGAAACGGATCTCGTATGTTCAGATATATGAGCTATCCCTTCTTTTTACCTTCGAGTTGTGAAGCGACGCAATATTTGTTTCGGCTTCACAAAACATCGATATGTAATCGCGTGAGAAGAGGGAAAGCTTACACACGTGTTTGAGAAATTATGGTGGTATCATTAAGTATATTCCATTAAAAAAAAAAATAAATAATATTTGAAACGTAATCCTGATGTTTTCCGCTCGCAAATGAAATTGCATAAATTTCCGAGATACGGTTTCGTTTATGAAAAATCAAAAGAGAGAGGATCAGCAAATACATTAATATATCGTAAATATATTGAGATGGAAGCGTTTCTATTTTCCCGCAAGCGCTGCAGATATAAAAATAATAAAAGAAGTATGTAAATACATATATACGTACCTTTTTTATATTTTTACTTTTTAACGACGCTCGTTGAATAACCGGGATGCAGCGAAATAGCGGTGATTGATGAACGCCGGCTGAAGTAAAACTCAGAGGAGACGGAGATGTTATGGAATATAAGCCGTGTCGCTCCACCGACCCTCCCCCCCCCGGCCCCTTTCTCTTTTTTCTTCTGACGCGCGTCCGCAGGCGCGGGAACAAATGTGAATACGCGGTTATGACGTTTTATATCAGAACACAGTGCTCCATTTATCCTGTCATGAATTGTGTGTAGCTCATCTTGTGTGCCTTGGTTTACGTTACGTGTTAATTCTTCTTTTTGTTTTTCTTTTCGTACCGTACCGGGCGGCGAGGAGAGGAGGATGATTAACCGTGAAATACGGTCCTCGCGCGACACGAGCAGATTTTTCTCACCGCTCTCATGCATGCGCGATCATCAATTGAGTCGTTTCATTTCAAAGTGGCCGTAAATCGAGTGTAATTAAAGCGAGATAAAAAGGAACGCGCGGGGGGACGAAAGCGGACGGTATATTCTCGTGTCAAAGCAAACGTCCTCGAGTTTGACACGCGCGATTCATACGACTCGTAATTCGCGAGTGCTCCGCGCGGCGAACAAAGCGCGGAGCGACTCGCTACTGAGAATGAGAACGGCTTGGACGGCACGTGTGTTGAGCTTGCGGACTTCTGTCTAACTAGACTTCTGACTCTCCATGTTCCAAGAGGGGGTGGAAGAGGTGTTGGAACGCCATATCACTTGGAGTTTGTTGGTAACGCACAGTAAGAAAAGCATTTGAGAGTAGCAAGGAAACCGTACACGCGTTTGTAGTTTAACAAGACGAAACGCGACGCACAAATTTCTCGATCGGAACACACGCATACATAGATATAGTCAGGGTTGGAAAAGTTACTTTTTAAGAGTAACTCGTTACCGTTACCGTTACTTTCGGTAAAAAGTAACTCGTTACCGTTACTCGTTACTGATCTTAAAAAATAACGCGTTACCGTTACTTGAAAGTAACGATATTTTATTTCGTTACTTTCCGTTACTTTTTTTTGTTGTAAATCCAGGATTATTAAAAGGTGCTAAGATAAGATATAAATCGGACATAAGACGATTAGAAATATATATATATATATATATATATATACATATTTAAATATTTTTATTATTTTATGTTATTAAGTGTTGTACTTAATGAAAAGTTTCTTAATTAGTGGATATGAATTTAATATTTGGACATTAGTGCCTGTTGACTTTAAAAATCTTTGCCATTCATCATAGGCAGATTTCTTATTTGATGCTTGCTATTTGAAATTAAAAAAGTCATCGTTATCATTGTGCTTATCAGACATAAAAAAATGTTCAATTGAAGGAATTCCTAATAAATCTTCTAAATATGTTTGCGCAAATTTTCGCTTATCTCCGGCTAACCAACTCAATTTGAATTTGGGGTGCAAACAGCTGGCAATTATCAATTCTTCTTTTTCGAATGTAGTACAAAACCTAAAGTTAAATCAATAAAATTAAATATGAACATATTGATTTTCCTTTTTGGTCAGATGAATGTTGTTTGATGAACATATGTATTAACCAAATTACACCAACTTACCTTTCTGTATAACTACGGCCAATGGATGACAATATGTGAGTCCATCTTTATTGGTTCTCACTGAATCCAGCATAAAACAAAAAATGCATAGAAATTAAATACAATTAAGTTTAATTTTATAAAAATTAAGAAGTAACGATTAAAGTAACGGATGTTTTGTTACTCGTTACAGAAAAAATGTATCGCCGTTACTTTTTCGTTACTGACACAACAAAAAAGTAACGACGTTACCTAATCGTTACTCAAAAAAGTAACGATACCAGAAACGGCGTTACAAGTAACGCGTTACTTCCCAACCCTGGATATAGTACACACCCTGTCCGCACTCTCAATGATAGCGTCCCAGAGTCAGCAATCTAAGTTGGGCAAGAGGTCCATCAGTCGACATCCTTTGCCTCCTCATTGCCGGTCCCTTCACCCTTGTTGAAAATAGACGAGAATAAAAAATAACGAAATCCCCCTCCCCCCTACGTGAGAAAGCTTGATAAAGTCCTCTGACGGAAGTCCGCAGCGAAAATTGACAGACTGTCGGGGCCACTTTGACCTCGCATAAAAATCCGAAGTCACAAAGAGAACTCTCTCGTTTCATCCTCCTCGCTCGCGCGCGTCGGCTCGTCGCAGCGACTGCTCGATCTAACGCACTCTAATCGCCTGTGAATTCTCTCCGCAGAACATTTCTTTTAAGTCGTACTCCCGCGACTCCGGACACGGCGGCTCCGAGCAGGAGGACTCCCCACGGACGCACAACACCTTGACGCTCGGTCACTCGGGCAGGAGGCGCGGGCCGAGCGACGCCAGCGAGATGAACAGCACCGGCAGCAGGACGACCGCTGGCAGACGCGCCGCGATGCCGTACAATCACACTTACACCGAGATCGTTGACGGTCGCGGAGGCGGCGGCGGCGGCGGCGGCGGCGGCGGCGGTGGCGGTGGCAACGGCACCGGGCATCACCAGCTGCACGGCCACCACGGTCAGCACGTGCACCTGCCGCGCGGCCTCGCCAACGAAGACGACCCGGTGTACGAGGAGATCGAGCGAGGAAGCGGCGGCGGCGGCGGCGGCGGCGGCGGTGGAGGCGGCGTCGGCGTCGGCGTCGGCGTCGGCGTCGGTGGCGTCGGTGGAAGTATCATCGGCGGCGGTATCGGCAGCGTCGTCGGCGCCGGCGAGATCCAAGTGTCGGACATGTCCGACGAGGACGGCCGGCGGCAGAGCGACATGAGCAGGCAGTCGTCCAGGAGCTACGGTGACCACCGGCCGTTGATACCGTACTCGCCCGCTGCCGACCGCAACTTGGCGCACTACGGCCAGACGATGGTGGAACGTGGCAACGGCGGCCCAGGCGGTAACCTCGCGCACTACGACACGACGGAGTACGGTCCCGCGGTAGAACGGACCCTGAACGCCTGTTGGGAGAAGCTGCGCCGGCAGCAAGCCAGGTACGAGCTCGACCTGCCGCGGCTGCCGGCAGCATACGGCATGCCGCCGCAGCAGGACCACACGCGGACGGTGGCCGTGTTGGACGGTCACACCGTCGTCTGCCACCTGCAGCCGCAGACGGACATGTACACGGGTCGCGGGATGCCGCCGCCGTCCTACAGCGAGTGTTAGGCCCTGATCTCGAGGCCGGTTCCACGGACTCGGCGGGACCCCGGCCGGAGACTCCTCTCTCCTGGTACCGCCGCGGAGGAACGATGATGGACGCTCTTCCGGGGAGACGACGACGGTGGCGCCGGCGGTCAGCCGGATTCGCGCGTCATTCGTCCGGACGGCTCGTCCTGTCGTAGGGACACGTGGTGACGGTGTGGGTAGGTAACGGTGACGGTGGTGATGATGACGATTCGTTCCTGGGAGGAAGCAGCGCGTGTTTAGTCGGCCATTACCGCCCCCCCCCTTCTCGACGACACGGGGCTTTTTGCGAACGGAGGTCTCTCCCCCCGCGGGAGGAGACGGACGTGTACCGCTTTTTAGCTCAAGCGTAAGCGCGACGGTGCTCCATGCCCGGCCGAGCGCTATGCGCGCGGAGGTTCGTCGCGTTTTAGCCATAAATCGACTCGCGTATCGCGAGCGTTCTTACCGGAGCAGCGCCGCTCTCGGCATCCGTTCGGGGATGCGATCCGCTCGGTCGGACGTCTCGGCTCGTGAGCCAGCAGCGAGACGGATGAGCTGCTGGAGGAGCAAGGATGAGAGAGAGTGTGTATATGTATGTGTGTGTGTGTGTCTGTGTGTGTGTATGTGAGAGAGAGAGAGAGAGAGAGAAAAGGCAGAGGAGAGAAAGAGTGGAAGAGAAAGGCTACATGCATGAGTGTGAGAGATAGATTGAGACGGGCGTTCGACTAGGCTGCCACGTCGTCCAACGGACGACCGTGTCTCCTTAGGATACACACATCGAGGTGTGCATACGTGGCGTGCGTGCGTGTGAATGCGTGAGAAAATCGCCGCGACACGCAGACTCTGTATAACAGAATTGTAGCGGACCTCTCGTTTAAGCTAAGTGGACGACGACGACGACGACGACGACGACGACGACGACGACGACGACGACGACGACGACGACGACGACGATGACGACGACGACGACGACGACGACGACGACGACGACGACGACGACGGTGGTGCATGCCCGTTCGTGGCCGGGCGTTTGGAATTGGCGAATCGAGTTGACGCGAGCAAAGACCAGAACGTGACGAGTCCTCATGGACGGGAGAGCTTTCCGTAGTCCGCAGCGACGCGAAAATCAGCTTCGGGTGTTTCGAGAGAACAAACGAAAAAGGGGAGGAGGAGGAGGGAAAGTAAAATTTTTTAATGCAATCGCGCGCGATGAGACGATGTTTTTGCGAGCTTCGCACGAGCGTACTGAACCAAAGGTTTATTTTATCACGATATTGAAAGCGGCTCGTGGAAATTTTTGCAAAATATTTGTTTTGCCGACGTTGTTCCGTAACATCTCTTTTAACGCAAATATATATAGCCCTGTATCGCATACAATACGATTTATAAAAGTGACTTTGCGCAAAAAGTTGCGCCGTACGGGATGTGATCGGTTCCAAGTGATTTCAACCACAACATTGTCCATTAGAGGTCAATCGATCCGTTATTTAAATTTTCTTTAATATTGATTGGGTTTCGCCCGCTGGATAGGGGCGTATATGCCAACGTTTTATTTCTCTTTATTTATTCTCTAATCCAGATACAAATGCATGCATACTTTCGCGTTTCTTCTTCTTTACGCGAGCAGATGCAGCACGTGTGCGCAATAAAGCAATTATTAAAAATATTTATAAATTATAAATATTATAAAGCTATTAAAAATATTTATTTTTCCGATCGTTCCTAAATGCACGGAGAACGCGCGTTGCTTTCTTACTTTCTCGTAAAATTCGCGCGTCTTCGAGACGTAAATGATTCGCGAGCAAAACGACACGAGGTCCCGACGGTGTGCCGGTGACGGAGCGGGTGGGGGGGGGAGGGGGGCTGTGGGCGTCCGGGCGAGCGTGTACGCGCGCGCCATATCGTTTTCTATCACTTGGATCGCTATACTTCTTACGAGGGGCGAGGCGCGCGTTATCCGGATCGTGTATCGGAAGCTACCTCGTGCGCGATGGACTTCGAAGAGAGAGATATGCGTCGTCGACACCTCGGCGCATCCGCTGCGACCCTTTACGCGGCCACAGCTGCGCGCGGATTGCAGCGGGGGACAGGTGGATTACGGAACTCGACAGAGCGCGAGCCGGTATTCAGCGCGACGATAAGTGGCGGCGGGTTCATGGCGGCGGCTCGTGCGTCAAACGCCGTCCGGCAATATTAAGTGTCGCTTTGACCGTCGCGTTAAACAGCGGTTCGCCGCTTGCGGCCGAGCGTATGAGTCGCGCGTAAATTGCAGTCGCGCGATGCGACCTCGTGTCGATTTGGCTTGGACGCTAGCCCAATCGAGCCGCACGGCGGCGGCGTGCGTTTAACGCAGCACTCAAGCCCACGTACGATGTGCGACGCACCGCGGTGTGTGACGGACGAGTCGCGGTTTACCGCCTCTCTCGTCGGCGCTGCTTCCTCGGGCTCGCGAGTATTCGGCGGTGCAGAGCTTTCCTCGGAACGCGCGAGCGGGTCAGCGTGTGACGTCCCTCGATTTAGAAAACAGGCATTGTAATATAGATCTAGACATATCGCCACCGGCCGAATACGCGAATCGCCAACAACACGCCGGTGACATTGTCGAGCAGCCGAGGGGATCGGCGTGCCCGGGATGCGATCTTTATGCGGGATCGATGACGGCTCGATAAAGGGGAAGACGCCGGTACCGTGCGACCCGCGACGAGGTCGCTCTGCGGCGACGCTTACCTTGCGCATGGAAAAATGGTAGCGCTCTGGCTCGCCCGATGTCCGAGAATTTTATTGACGACGACGACGATGTATTTCTTTTCCTTCTTTCTCTTTAGTAATGAAACGATTTTCTTTTGTTATCTTGCGACGAAAATCACCCTCCAAGCCGGAGCAGTCGCCTCTCGTCGCTGGCCACGGTACCTCTCGTTGCTTCAGTCCTGCGCCTCTTGATTAAAAAGACGCGGTTAGTGAAGAACATCCCGCAGTCTTCGCGAAAGACAGGTGTTGCATTGAAGCGTTTTCTCAATATCGAATACACGAGGGCAGTCTGAAAAGTTCTCGGCCTAACAGTGAAAGAAAACTTTCGTTTTGCCGTGAAATATGTTTTATTTTTCAATATAATCTCCTGAAACTTCAATACATTTATTCCAATAATTTTTTCAATTTTTTCAATAATTCAATACCGTCATTAAAGTGTGATTCCGGAAGGTTCTTTTCGCTCTGGTGTATAGTGGTGGATCCAAGTTTCATCAACAGTTATGAAACGACGCTTGAAATCCATTTTATTTTGCTTAAAACGATCCAAACACGCTTGAGAAATACGCATTCGAATGCGTTTTTGTTCAGTTGTTAACAATATTTGATACCATCGTTCAGTCTAAGAATATGATTTTTCAAGAAATAGAACATCAAGGAGAAAACGTCTGGATTGTTATAAACTGCAGAGGTATCCGGTTACACGCATTCGCCGTTGCGTTATTCCTTTTATCAATTTATCCTAAAGTAACTACCTCGTCATAGTTTTGCGCAAAGCTTCGTCCTGCAACTCGGTGCACTCCTCGCGGGCGCGTGCGCGCGCACGCGAGCCTCCACCGCAGAGTTGTGTGTTTCGACGAGCGAGAGAAGTAACAAGCGCGTTTCTCGCCATTGATGGCCGGAAATTAGATTTCCTCCCGTACGGCAAGAACAAAGGAGAAATCGAGGGGCAATGGCTGAAGCGCCTTTATCAGTCGTGTACTACGGTAGCTCCTCGTCGCGCGCCGCTTTGGAACGTTACGTTTTAGTCCCAGAACGTTATTTTTATAAATAAAAAAATAAATATATATATATGTATGTATATGTATGTATACAGTAACGATATATTATTATTGTGACGAAAGCGAGAGAGAGAGAGAGAGAGAGAGAGAGAGAGAGAGAGAGAGAGAGAGAGAGAGAGAGAGAGAGAGAGAGAGAGAGAGAGAGAGAGAGAGGGAGGGAGAGAAAGCGAGTGAGAAAGAGAAAACCGATGAGTGGGCCCAGGGATCGTATGTGGGCGGATAAATATTAGTGATACAAGCGGATTTCCCGAGCGACGTGGAAAAATGCGCGAACACTTAGTCACTGTTTTTTACTATTTTTTAAAAACGAAAAACCGTGTATGTACGTGAGAACGTGTGAGCTAAGCTAAACGTGTAGCCGAGGGACACCGCGTGCGCGTGCGCTATTTATTTTTTATCATCCTCGAGTGTTTTGTATTGCGAGCGAAAACTGTGTCGAGTGGGAATTCGTCGTTCCCCGACCATCCTTCGTCGACGATGACTACGACGAAAAACCACCACGAGGATTCTCGTCGGGCGATGCCTCGACCAAGTGAGCGAAGGAAAAAGAAATAGAGAGAGAGAGAGAGAGAGAGAGAGAGAGAGAGAGGGGGCAGAAAGAGAAGAGTATGGAGAGCGAGTTTCGATAGTCTTCTCGACGCGATGTGTGGATGAAAGTACGTTGAGCCAACTGTATTTCCGCAACACTTGAGCACCCGTACGTAAAGTCACGTCTTTATTTTCTCTTCCGCGAGCCTCTGCACTTCATTTGTTCCCTGCGCGCTTCATTTCGCATCGGCAGTCTCTTCTCAACTCGAGATAAACTATAGACAGAAAAGGAAAAATTTCACACACCGTGTATGAACCGAGTTAGTCCGCAAGTAAATTATCACTACCGCTTCTTTGCGATGCGATACTTTTCACGATGTGTGAAAATTCGACGTATTCAAACGTAGAAAATACGAGGCAGAACTCTTCGTATATTTTCAACAATACATATAAGGACACAATGATATATTTTACAACGTAAGAAGTAACACATGGATGCTACGGGATAATCGTAGCTTTGTTTCCTTTTAATTAAATTATTAATGTGGCCAATCTTTTTTCTTT